GGTCCACGTCTCACAGCTTGGCACTGGCAGGTCTGCCTTGGCTTCGGTAACCATGCGCAGTCATGAATAATTAAGAAGCCGGTTCTTGGAAAAGAAAACCTTGCTATGAATAATAATGAAAAAACGACGCGTCATCTTTGCACTTGCAGTTTTGCGCTACGTTGCCGATTTTGATCCCGCCCCAAAAATCAGTTTAAGCCCGGAAGCTGAAATAAGTTGACAAAAGCTCAAAATTATCAATTTTTTCCCCACAATTAAAGCTAACAGGTGCTAACATTGTCTTAACTAATGCTCAACATACACAAATCTGTTAAAATCTCAAAAAAAGTACTGAGGGGTTTCGTGAAAATTTAAGAGCAAAAATGTGCTGTCCACATATGTGGCCACTAAGCCCTAGGACAGGGGTCACCAATCTCTCCTGGAGGTCCAGTGCCCTGTAGGGTTTAGCTCCAACTTGCCTCAACACACCTGCCTGGGTGTTTCAAGTATACCTTGTAAGACGTTGATTAGCTTGTTCAGGTGTGTTTGATTAGGATTGGAGCTAAAATCTGCAGGACACCAGCCCTCCAGGAAAAAGTTTGGCAATCCCTGCCCTAGGGTTTAAGGTCACAACATTACGCAACACGCTGCAGCCAGTGATGACCGGTTCATTTTTCTGTCTCATACATAAAAAGTGCCTTTGTGTAACAGAGACACATTTGCACTTCAGAGCTGCACAGCTGGCATATTTTCAATGTGTCTGCAGTGTCAAAACATGCCACTACGCTAATGGGAAGCTGATGAGATAAGAGGGATTTCATGCTCAAGGACAGAAGATAAAAGACGAGTGTGAGATGTTCCCAATAGAATTGAAACTCAACATCCTAAAGAAATTAAATAGAGAAGAGACCTTAAAAGGGTAAGGTTTATCCTACAGTTTGCACCCAGTTGTTCAACTTAAGATCATTAAATAAAAATTGCATAGTCAATATCCATGATTCAGTTTTAGGCCCACTTAAATTTATATTTTATCAACTACATTTTGGCCACATTTTCAGGAAATACCTCAGTTCTTTCAAGTTCCTTCTATCCTTCTTCTTTAACCAAATGCCTAGAATTAAAATCTCTTAGTCTTGGGACACTATTTTAATGATCTACTGTAGGACTAGAGTGATCAGACTTGGTCCTGGAGGGCCAGTGTCCTGCAAAGCTTAATTCCAACCCCAATCCGACACACCTGAGCTAGCTAATCAAGCTCTTACTAGATTTTCTAGAAACATCCATGCAGGTGTGTTGAGGCAAGTTGAAGCTAAAATCTGCAGGACACTGGCCCTCCAGGAAAGAGTTTGGACACCCCTGATGTAGGCGCAAAGTCTAAGGGTCATGGTGAAAAAGCATTAAGGGCATGTCCGAATCCACTTTTGCTATTTTAAGGATGGGAAAATACACTCTGCGCCATGACACATGGCCTAACAGGGTTGTGCTTATTCTCTTTATGAGTTATGGGTGACTTTTGAGCACAATGTGCATAAAACCAATCATTTGTTTCTTAAAATAGCAATGTGCCAACAAAGCACCTTAACACACCTATAGACCAACACGCCCATAAGTCCAAAGTGCAAAGTGATACAAAAGGAATTGTTATTTTAACAACGTAGTGCAACACGTGAAAATTACCGTTGCGCTGGTCTGAAAATATTAATAAATCGAGTCATTATGCCAGCTTTATGTTAGGGCCCTTGTGTTTTAAATAGTGACAAAACTGAAGCCTCAACTAATTGGTAGTAAATCTAAAAGGCAAAATCTCATGATCTCGCTGTAGACATTGACACAATCAAATTTGTCTTTCTCAGTAGGTCAGGACTTAGGGTGTATTTTTGAATGACACATTTTCTTTTGAATCACATATCAATGATATTACACATAATATAATATTCATCATCTTTATCTTTCCATCACAACTTAAAATAATGCAATTCTAAGGCCCAATCGCTTTAGCCCCTCCCCTTACCGCTACCCCTTGTTTTGCACAGTAACGTAAATGGGTAGGGGTGTTCCAGTTCTCTTTAAGAGGAAGGGGTTGATATTCCTTAAAATGAAGATTTTTCAGGACCACACTTGAAACCAAGGGGTACGAAAATTTTCTAAAATACACCATCTATAAAGGCAGCATGGCTGCACATGGAAGTAGATGCACAAACTAGTATTTTTGTCATTATTAAAAAAAAAAAAAACAAGCACATGATTTAATACATTCATAACCGCCTTTATGTTTTATCATCATGCCTTTTTAAACGTTAAAATTAATCTAAAAATCCATAATAACACCTGTATAGTAGTCCCACAACATTCTGTCAATCGACGACACTCGAATACCCTGTCAGAAAGGTCTAGTGGCTGGGAATGAGCTTTTTACAGTGTTTGCTATAATGTTAATGTTGTTTTTGGTGTACAGTATTTACATAGATGAATATGGCCACATTATAAATGCAGAGTACAGTTACGATCTTATTGAACATTATATCATTATGATAACATGATATATGCCTTCAGTGATTTCCTGAAGAAAAATTGCAAAAATTAAAGCAAATGGAATAAATACAGCAGTCGTGATCATCGATCTCATATGAAGCAAGAGATTGCAACGGCATATGATGTTGTGTGCACATGTTCTAGTGCGATCCTATTTCTTAGGGGTACATTTTGAAGCCCTTCTCCTTCACACTCTTTCATGGGCCAAGGGGAAGAGGTAAAGATACAAAAATAGAATTGGGGTTGAGCCTTAAATCATGCACTGAAAGCCTCTCACATTGACTACTGTAATAATCTTCTCACTGGCCTTTCTGCAAAACATTTCCATAAACTTCAACTGTTTCAAAACTCAGCAGCTTGTGTTCTTATTGGGACTTCATCAATTCAACACATTAGACCATGGTTTGCACTGTCTTCCATTTAGGAATAGTATTGATTTTAAAACTCTGCTTCTCACCTTTAAGGCACTTCACAGCCTTGCTCCATCATATCTTATTGACCTTCTTCACATTTTTACTCCGTCTCGCACTTTCAGATCTACTCACACAATTTCACTGCAGCCACCTACGTGTTTAACCACAATGAGAGCTAGATCTTTTAGCTCTGTAGCACCTGGTTTATGAAACTCTCTTCCCCCTAACATAAGGTACAGCGATAGCCTCCACACTTCTCATCTTCACAATCTCATCTTAAGACCCACATTTTTACCCAAGCCAACTTATAACAATATTTTTATGGTTGTATTGTTTATTTTTTTTGTATTTATGATGTATATTTGCACTGATTTCAGGTGTTATTAATCGTTACAGTTTTTTATTTAAATGTATTTTGTAAATGTTGGGTGTCTACAAAGACATAATAAAAAATAAAAATAAAAATAAATACATAAATAAAAATTGTTAAAGTTTTTATTTAAAAGTATTTTGTAAATGTTGGATGTCTAAATACATAAATAAAATAAATAATTAATTAAATAAATAAATAAATAAATATTATTATTATTATTATACATTTGCTCATTGTGTACATGCCAACATGCCAGTATAGAACAGTGTAAAACATGTAAATAAAATACATAATAAAACCTTCTTTTTACAACAGTGACAAATATTGTAGGATCCTTTTATACCATATTATGCTATATAAAGGTTTAAATAATAAATATTCACCATGTAATGCCAACTATTCACTGGAAAGCAGATTTGCATGTTTCCATAATTCAATTACCAACCACCAGAGGGAGCTCTTACTAGAATACGCACTGATTGATTCTGCTATTTGGTGTGACCTGTTTTCTATGTCAAAGTAAACAAAAATATAGCAGTTGGCATTGGCATATAGTTTTAAAAAATTTGTAAGAAATAAAGAAACTCATTACACTACAATCACACTGAATACTAAAGTCACAGTTAGGAGACTTTAAAAAGATTCTGAGAAATGAATTTTCACATTTGTGAGATATGAAACTGTCTATCTTCATGGAGTCTTGTTTTTTGACCTTTATTTTTCATTTGCTGCATAATACTGGATATGATATTGGATTTATGACTCTTCTTGACCTCGCAAGACCACATTTGAGGACTGACCTTTGGATTTGGTAACTTAACCTTCTAGTTTTAATTCAATTTAGAATTTAAGCTTGGTGAGTTTTACTTTCTGTAAAGAAGTGTCTTTTGACTGCCCCTCTACCAAACGGTTGACCATGTTTTTATTGTTTTAAATAATGACTGTTAAAGTCAGGTCAATGACTATTAAAGTTAAATAACGACTGTTAAAGAAAGACTGTTTTAAATAATGGCTTACACACAGCACTGTAGCTTTACAAAAAAATTAAATCAATCAATAAATAAATCAAACAAACATTGCACTACTTCACTTGATTTGGGTTTTATTGTAAAAAACAAACAAACAAACAAAAAAACAGGAAAGCGTGTTAAATGAAGATCTGAAATATTTTATGACATACTTCAAAAAAAAGGTGATTTAGTATTAAAAATGTTTTATTTTTAATGAATTTTAAATAAATGGGTCTTACACTTCATATTTTCAGATTTTTTCATATTATATGTATTAACCCCGGTACTTTTACAATAAACATAAACACATATCTACCATTTGGTAGAGTAGAGACTGATAATTTTTAATTTAGGGGATGTATTGAAAAAAAAGTGTGTTAACTAGCGGCATTAGGAGGCAAGAAATGCAATCCAAACATTTTTTTTTCTTGGTGGGGCAGTTAAAGGGTTATTCTAACCAAGGCTCAATTTATTTCATAAATAAATCTGTATTAATATATTTATTTTAACATTTTCCATTCCTGAATATTAAAACTGGTTTTAAAATCACATTATGCTAATATGCTCAAAAATTAAATAAAATAATTAATAATAATAATAATTAATATATATATATATATATATATATATATATATATATATATATATATATATATATATATATATATATATACATATATATATTTTTTTTTCTTCCCAATATTAAATTGGATGTGCTGCTTAAAATCACCATGAAATGGAAGAGGTTGTTTTATTTATTTTTTCCTACTTATGTTTTCTTGAAAAAGAAAATAATGTGGATGAGGATTTGATTTTGTCCACTGGGAATTGATTAGATACACTGCTTCTTTGCTAGAGCTGCCATTTCATGAGCAACAGGATGTAAAGATAGTAAACATTATATAAAAAAAAAAAGTTGCTACAAGGAGAAAAAAGTTACCTTTAATGAAGTCAGATGGATTAAAAAAATTATTGTAATTTAATGATAATGTGATCATATTTTATTGGTTGTGACTACCATACTTACTGTGGCCTGGAGGCTTCGGCTTGATCCGTCTGGAGCTTTTCACCTCCCTCCACCTCCATGGTGCAGTACACAATTCGGTTAGGAGCAACGGATTTCAGCCCCTGAACCTCTATGATCACAATCTAAACAAAAAGACCATATAATAAGCATTTCATTATTTTTAGTGCTAGGCAAAAATTACGCACGGTTAATAATATGCAAATTAAAGTTTGTTTGTACACTTTAAGTGTGTGTACTGTGTATCTGAAGAGTTTAGATGAATTTTTTTTTTTTTTGAAAAAGAGCAATTTCTATCAGGCTTTTATTATTATGTGCAGCAGTTTCTTGTATAGGTAAAAAAAAGTAAATTCTTCAGACAATTCTTTTGTTTTAACAAGGTAGATTTTCTTTTGCATCAAAACCAGCTAAATCCACCTGTGTTTATTTTTTTTTTTAAATTGGGCAAAAACCTTTAAATCCATCTATTAGGACAAGACATTGTAATAAGTAAAAAAATACTCATTTTTTATCTATTGTCATTTCTAATATTTGCAATTGAGATTTAAATGTAAGTTGAACAATGTAAACAATGCAAACATAAAACTTGTTAGATTTCAATAATGTAGTGTGTAATCAACTATGTGTGATAACAGTGCAAAACATTCTGACAAACACTTTTTAAAGTGTGTAAACATTAAAATAAAGTTAATAAAAAACATATTCCCCATGCCAACATGCTATGTGCAAAATGCAAATACTAATATAAAATAAAAATATTATCAATTCAAATAGTTTGGTGGACTGAAAAAACAAGTAGAACAGAGCGAAACATTGTGAAATATCAATATCTGTGCATGGCGACGCAGTGGCGCTGTAGGTAGTGTTGTCGCCTCACAGCAAGAAGGTCGCTGGTTCAAGCCTCGGCTGGGTCAGTTTGCGTTTCTGTGTTATGTTTGCATGTTCTCCCTGCGTTCATGTGGGTTTCCTCTGGTTGCTCCGGTTTCCCCCACAGTCCAAAGACATGCGGTACAGGCAAATTGGGTAGGCTAAATTGTCCATGGTGTGTGAGTGTGAATGACTGTGTGTGGATGTTTCCCAGAAATAAAAGACAAAAGTCTTGTCGTTGATCCCAGTTGTAAGAGTAACAAAAAACAACTTGACTTCTAGTAGATCATTTAGAAATGTGGCAGAAGGTAGATTTTTCGGATGAATCATCTGTTGAACTGCATCCCAATCATCATTAATACTGCAGAAGACCTATTGGAACCCACATGGACCCAAGATTCTCATGGAAATCAGTCAAGTTTGGTGAAGAAAAAAATCAAGGTTTGGGGTTACATTCAGTACAGGGCGTGCAAGAGATCTGCAGAGTGGATGGCAACATCAACAGTTTGAGGTATCAAGACATTTATGCTGCCCATTACATAACAAACAAGAGGAGAGGGCAAATTCTTCAGCAGGATAGAACTCTTCATACTTCAGCCTCCAAATCAAAGTTCCTAAAAGCAAAGAAGGTCAAGATGTTCCAGGATTGACCAGCCCAGTCACCAGCCATGAACATTATTCATCATATCTAGGGCAAGATGAAAGAACATAATCTAGATAATAATCTAGATAATCTGTGATACCAAATGATCAACTAGAAGTCAAGTTATTATTTGTTGTTTCTAAAGCTTCGATAGGCGACAAGACTTTGTCACTGTGGTAGATTTAACGGACCATTTGGTAGATTAAGCATTTTGATTGGTTATAATACCACAGATTTTTGACCAATTTTTAACGGAAGGTTAAACTTAGCAAATGTCTAATTCCATGTTAATAAAATGTTTGAACTAGGTCTGCAATTGGGATACATGTACAAAATGACTGACCAATGTGGAGGTGTCTGTAAGGTGGAATGGTTATTAATCTCTACCTCTAAGGAAAACGACAGCACTACGTCAGACTTGGAGAGGGGCAAGTCGTTCTCATCACCGATGTCCAGGAAGCTGTTCATGGGTGTGAGTTTGGGCTTGACTTTGGGCTTGAAGTCTTTGGCCACAGGCTGGCTCTCCAGATTAGCCATTAGCAGGTTAACGGATGACCTGAGCTCCTCCACATACATCATCTCCATGTCTTTGGAAATAAACTTTGGAAACTTCCTCTCCTATTGGATGCAGAAAAAAAAAAACAGAAAGAACACTGCAATGATCACTTGTACCTGTACAGATCATTTGACCTGATGTAACCAATATGACAATTGACCACAAAAAAATATATATATATATTTATTACACACACACACACACACACACACGCACACACACACACATATATACATAAAACCTACATAATTTCAACTAAGTTTTGCAAATTTTTGCCTTCTTTTGATTTTTCTTTTTTTTATTTGCATTTAATATTTTTCTATAACATTAATAATTTGGCTGTACTAGATTTTGGACCATTAACAAAAATCATTTTGTTAGATAAACTACAGATTTGGCTTTAGTACAAACTAATCGAATGTATATGCACAATTATAATATTGTGAAGCTTCCTTTTAAAAATATGAATTTGTCAAAACACAAATACTGTAAGAAAAAGCTGCATCTCTTCAAGAAAATTAAATGTATCATGCAGTCCCAATTTGGACAACAATCTGTTTACATTTTCATAGTAAAGACAGAAACAGGTGAACATTTCTTACTCTGGCTATTTTCTCAGCCAGCTGCAGTCGCCCGTCCAGCTCTCTGCGGATTTGCGCTGCCTGCTCGTCCACATTGTCCAGCTGCACGGGAAACACAAAACAAAGCTTATCTATTCGACATGGTTAGTAAACCCATTGACTGCAGGTAGATCTGAGCAGATCAAAGCTGACCATAGTGAAAAGACAGAAAAGACAGGCTTAATATCTGCCCCGATTATTCATGTAATCTCTTTTGAGCTTCATGAAGCAGCAATGGCACTTGGACGGGCCATACTGAGAAGATATGAGATCATAAAAAAAATGTTTAATGTCTTTATCTGTTCGCTGAGCGGCTCTGGCATGCCCTCAAATGAAGCGTTTTTGGAGTGTGAAACACACACACACAGAAAGTGACACACAAACACACCCACACAGCACCGCTGGCATGTTGTCAAGACAGGGTTTCCTCTCTATGAGTGGGAAATCTCTGTGTATCACACACACACACACACACATAGATACACACACATACACCACCCCCTCTTTAGCACTGTTTCCACTTGATAAGCTCCTCTCCCTGCGGCAGCAGTAGGGCGGACTCCTCTCTCCTATTTCATGCTGCGCTATTACTGTGCCATATACTAGTTCACGCAGAAAGTTTTTGTTTTTTTAATTAAGTGGCGCTTACTGAAACTTATCTTTAGTGATGTAAATAAATCCCAAATCCAGAGTATTCAATAACCATTCCTAAAAATTTGTGCTGCAATTCTACAGATGCTACATGTTATCCTGGGACAACCGATTAATGTAGAATGTTAGCCGTAAACCAATAAACCGTTATATTTCAAACAATAAAAGTGAAAATAAGGCACTGTTAACACTAGTACACTTTAGTTTTAAACCGGCATTTTAGGGTGAAAACGATCCACATCCACACTAGCGATTCATCAAGTATTTCTGAAAAGATCTCCATTCACACTACACCACTGAAAACGCACATCACGTGACCACACACACACTCTTGCAGCGTATGTGCACGTCTGAGCTCCCCTCAGCAGGAGCTTTGAGCACAAAACTCCAGGTGAGAGCAGCGCATTTTGGGCAGTTCGTCAAGGATATCTCACTATAGTTGGTGAACGTGATATTTAATTTATATAGTCTTTATCTAACAAATCTTTGGTCTTTTGAATCCATCACTTGTTCTTAGGTAACGTGTTTTGGCTGAGTGCAAAGGTAAGTTAATACAGTGCATCTGGAAAGTATTCATAGCGCTTAACTTTGTCCACATGTTTTTATGTTACAGCCTTTTTCCAAAATGGATTAAACTCATTAATTTCCTCAAAATTCTACACACAATACCCCATAATGACAATGTGAAAAAATATTTTTTTGAAATTGTTGCAAATTTATTAAAAAATAAAAAACCTGAAAAATCACATGTACATAAGTATTCACAGCCTTTGCTCAATACTTTGTTGATGCACCTTTGGCAGCATTTACAGCCTCAAGTCTTTTTGAATATGATGCCACAAGCTTGGCACACCTGTCTTTGGGAATTTTTGCCCATTCCTCTTTGTAGTACCTCTCTAGCTCTATCAGGTTGGATAAGAAGCGATGGTGTACAGCCATTATCAGATCCCTCCAGAGATAATCAATAAGCATTCAGGTCTGCGCTCTGGCTGGGCCACTCAAGGACATTCACCGAGTTGTTGTGAAGCCACTCCATGAATATTTTGGCGGTGTGCTTTGGGTCATTGTCCTGCTGGAAGATAAACTATTGCCCCAGTCAGAGGTCAAGAGCACTCTGAAGCAGGTTTTCATTTAGGATGTCCCTGTACATTGCTGCATTCATCTTTCCCTCTATCCTGACTGTCTTCCAGTTCCTGTTGCTAGTGGCTGTTCCTACCTTGAGGTTGCTTCGGTAACATTTATGGTGATATTCTCAGGGAGTGTATGAGTTTATTATTCCTTATTATTATTCCTTACATTTATATAGCGCTTTTCTGGACACTGAAAGTAAACACTGTTCTGAGAAAACACTCAATATAAATAGAATCATGGTGACGTGGTGGCGCAATGGGTAGTATGTTCTAGGGGTGTCAAAATTAATTGTTTCTTTGGTGCACCGCGATGCAGTTGCGGACAATTTGGTATTGATTCAGTAATAATCATAACCGGTTATTATGTACTGACGTCATTTATGTCCTAAGTGCTCTGTCGCGAGGGAGGTGACACACATTCAGTTACAGACGGCAATAACTCAAAAACCTCTTACCCTAAAAAGATCTAAAGTGTGTTTCCTACAAAAAGACAAAGCTGGTTATGTTTCACAGCTGTCTTTCTTTTTTTTCGCTCCACACTACGAGCACTGCTCCGTTTAAGCCCTCGCAATATGTGTTTAGCCGGGAGAGCTCGCGCTGAGAGGAGCTCTCAGCAAGGGACCGTCGGAAAAGTGCTTCTTTTTTTCGTTTTTCTGCTCCGCTCTTCACAAGCTCTCCCTGTTGCGAGGGCTTAAGTGTGTGTGTGCGTTTGTTTCTTAGGTGCTGTCTATGTTTGTGTTTGAATGAGAGACAGTGTGGTGCTGTGTGTCTGTGTGTTTATACAGATAGCTTGTTATAGCCTCCCCTCTAAAATATAACACTGTATATGGAAAGCATCGTCAATGCACCGTGATGCACCGAAATATCGAATTGAACCGAATTAAAGGCATGATAATCGTAACCGAACCGTGAGACCAGTATAGGTTCACACCTCTAGTATGTTCACATCACAGCAAGAAGGTCACTGCTTTGAGCCTCGGCTGGGTCAGTTGGCGTTTCTGTGTGGAGTTTGCATGTTCTCCCCATGTTCATGTGGGTTTCCTCTGGGTGCTCCAGATTACCCACAAGTCCAAAGACATGCGGTACAGGTGAATACACAATTCGGTATCGATTCAGTAATAACCATAACCGGTTATTATGTTGTGACGTCATTTATCTCCTATGCGCTCTGTCGCGAGGGAGTTGAGCGCCGTTATTTACAACACTCAGCCAACTCAGGGCCGGCCCGTGGCATAGGCACCATAGGCAAATGCTTAGGGCGCTGTATATCCAGTGGGGCGCCAGAAATGAGCGCGCTTCAGTTGGTTTTGTTTTCGATTTTCCTGACAAACATTCAGTTATAGATGGCAATAACTCAAAAAACGCTTACCCTAAAAAGATCTAAAGTGTGTTTCCTACAGAAAGACAAAGCTGGTTATGTTTCACAGCTGTCTTTCTTTTTTTCGCTCGACATTACGAGCACTGCTCCGTTTAAGCCCTCGCAGTCTGCGTTTACTTTAGCCGGCAGAGCTCGCGCTGAGAGGAGCTCTCTGTAAGGGACCGTCGGAAAAGTGCTTATTTTTTTTCGTTTTTTTTTTTATTTTTCTGCTCCGCTCCCTGTTGCAAGGGCTTAAGTGTGTTTGTTTGTGTGTGTGTGTGTGTGTGTGTATGTGTGTGTGTGTGTGCGTTTGTTTGTTTGTTTGATGCTGTCTATGTTTGTGAATGTGTTTGAATGAGAGACAGTGTGTTGCTGTGTGTCTGTGTGTTTATACAGACAGCATGTTATAGCCTCCCCCCTAAAATATAACACTATATATGGAAAGCATTGTCAATGCACCGTGATGCACCGAGATATCGAATTGAACCGATGGCATGATAATCGTAACCGAACCGAACCGTGAGACCAGTATAGGTTCACACCTCTAATATATATATATATATATATATATATATATATATATATATATATATATATATATATATATATATATATATATATATATATATAAATCTCATACTAGGTTCTAGTGCCTCCGGCATGGGAAATGTATTAAGGGTGTGCTGGGTTACACTAATACGAATAAATGAAACAAAAAAAATTCTATTAAGCAACAAAGCATCAATTGGGGTCACAAGTTTGACTTAAATTTTCTTAGAAGCCAAGACTTATGGGGAATATTATCCTCAAACGAAATAACTAACACAAAAAAAAAAAAAACACAAACAGAAAAGATATGGGCATCAGCTCTGCCAAAAGTTTGAAAATATCTGCTTAATTTCAATATTGTGCATCACTACTACATCAAACAAGATTTAAATAAAATAAGAATGTTAATCCTTTTTATTTCTAAAGCATTGTTTATTATGAAATTGATTAATTTTGTCTGAAAAACTTCTAATTTAAATAACCACATTACCGATCAAAAGTTTGGAGTCAGTACTATTTTGAAATGTTTTAAAATTAACTTGCTCACTATTTCTGCATTTATACAGTACACATTGTAAAATTGTCAAACGTTATTGCTCTAGAAAATAACTGTTTAAAAATAGTTTATAATTTAATTTAATAATTTATTCCAGTGATTTTAAAGCTTTATTACTCAAGTCTTCAGAGTCACATGATCCTTCAGAAATCACTCTAATATTGATTATTATTATAATTATTATTATTAATGGTAATAGTCATAAAAGCAATAAATAGAGTAATAATTTCATTTGAAACTACACACAATAAAAAATAAGTTATTTACAATTTTTACAAATATTGCACAATTTAACACTTTTTTTTTTTTACATTTCATAAATGAGCTTTGATGAACAGAATAATTTTGTTTAAAAAAGACATGAAAAAAACAACAACCCCAAACTTTTGACTGGTAGTGTATATAGTAAAATATAGAATTACTGGGAAATAAAATTACTCATACCATTAAATAGAAATTTGATCATACTGCCCATCCATCCCTAGTGTGCAAAAACATGATTCTCATGAGACACCACAGAGAACTGACATGCTACATGGTAATCATATTCTTTGTTGCAGTTCTCTACATTCAAAATTAATCATATAAAAATCATATGAAACACAATTCAGAAAACAAAATAGAAATTGTTTAGGGGAAACTTAATTGTCTTAATTGTTCAATATACTTAAATTAGTTAAATTAAATGAATGTTAACATAACAGCATGAATAAATTAAGTGGAACCCTGCAGTTTTACTTACTTATTGCTATCTGCATTTTGATCCCAGTAAGTTTGAGTAAATGTAAACAATGTGATTAATAATTAGTAGCCTGACAAA